GGGTAGTATCAGAGCCATACCAAGTTTAAAAGCATGACCAACCCCAAACTTTTCTTTCCAACAATGTGTTCTATGCACCTCCACGAATCTAAAGACAGCATTCTGATTAATATCGTATTTTCCACACTAAAAGGCGCACCTTCAATGAATGGCCTATTTTGTAATTTTTTTTCATACATTGGGCGCACCGCATTACAAGATGCAATCTACAATGCATCCACTAGATGGAGCGATGCTCAAGGAAACGCCAACAGAACGATCAGATGTCAGTAAAACTTATTTACTAAAGCAGCGACACAGTTCACTTAACCAACAGCAAGTTATAACATTGACTCGTTAACGTTGAACTCTATTGCCGCTGCTCTATTTCCGCGTTCAACTGCGAAACCGATCGCCTTAAGTTTGAACTCTGCGTTGTCAGCATGTCTCGAGCAAGGAGCTATTTTGGGGTCGAAATGTTACCGTAATGACCACACACAAGGCGCATCGGGTTTTAAGGCGCGCTGTGAGCTTTTAAGAAAATGGAAGGCTTTTAGGTGCGCCTTTTAGTGCGGAAAATACAGTACTGCGTTTGTGGAATACGAGTTAAGCAGTAAGATCCACACCAAGCACACATCATCTGTTTGCGTTTGGTCGAGAGATGTTTGCAAGCTGGATGAAATACTATTTTGAGACCATGTATTTTGCACGTCCGTATTTGTCCATATTTAAAATTTCTGTAATACAACTGGTTATGAAGTGTGTGGTCCTATGTGGGCGCCCAGTAGCACTGATGAAAAATTGTGTGCCCCTCTAGCATTGAAGTTGCCTATCCCTGTTCTAGACCCAGTGACTATCCATCAGCAGAAATTCAAAACGAGAAATTGGTCTTAACTCATTACAAGCCTGAATAGCAATTTGTCTGTGGCAAAATCATCATCAAATATCGACATGGACAAAAAGTGGTTGGTAATTCTGCACATGAAATTGGCAATCAAGCACTTTGAGTTTTCGCAATACTGACATCATGCATTGACTTAGCAGGAGGAGCCACTGGTGACTAAGGGTTTCCTCTCTGAAAAGTCAAATTACAAACAATTAGCAGGACTGAAGAAAGGACCGACAGCTACACGCCAAGTTGGCATTGTCAGACACGAGAAAGGCGAAACGTGTTTTGTCTGATGTCTTCTACATTACTCAACTCAACTCAACTGTATTTATAGAGCACTTTCAAACAGCCATCGCTGCATACAAAGTGCTGTACATGGAGCAAGTCAACATATACAACAAACAGTAAAGCAAATCGGTAATAAAGACGGTAGAAAGCACCGAACAGCAAAACCAAGAACAAATCTAAGTCATGCTGAGTCAAATGCCAAACTACCTCACAGTTCTCACCAGACCATTTTGATTACCGTAATGCCTCGCTTTAACACAAGTTCATCTTTCACAGCTTTGCTGTTTCACTCATTTTATTCATGCACTTTTTTTTTAAACAATGCATTGTGTTCTGCATCCTGATTGGCTGAGGGAATGTAGACTAACGTCGACAGTCTCCACGCCTCATCACTGTACAGCTCGCCAAATTTTCTCCATGACAAAACCCACAATGTCGACGAAACGTTCTGTACAATATTTCTAAAAACTGTCAGTTGTTTGCAAGAAAACGTCAATATGTTTTTGTTTTTGTTTTTTTAAATGCGTGGGCCTGAAAAAAGCTTTAACCTTTGGTTTCATTCAATGCATATGTAATAATTGTGACAAATCAAGATGACTACTTGACAGTTTTCACTTATCATAGGTTCTTTTTGGAACGTAACACCGTATAACATATAAAGTCTAAACGAGGGATTACCGTCTTTGAATTATAGCAGTCAAAGTGCAGCTGATAAGATGCAGCAGTGTTAGATAACAGTGTCATGTAAAAAAAAAAAAAATCCGCATTACACCAGAATCTTTTCCGGGAGCGGGTGCATTGTGCCGAATGAAAGTTAAGTTCCCATTTTGTCAGAGTACCAGACAATTCAAGTCATTACTTTATCAGCCACTCTCCCCCTCCACAGTACCATCTTGGCTACTTTGCCACAGCTAGCATTATTTATACAGACAGAATTTGGTGCTCCTCATCGAAATAGTACCATAGTAAAATGTGATACCAACCGCATTGAATGCTACAACAAACAACAAAAAAACGGACAATGTCTATTGTATTGACGTTCACTACAAGGAGACAAATTAAATTAGGAGACTGATCTCTGCAGCAAAATGGAGACTGCGGATTATAACACTGCGGCAGCCAGAGCTAAAACACACTAACGGGGAAACTAATGTTAGCGATTGCTTTTATCCTCAAGTGACCATGAGTTTCACTTTTTTTAAGTGAACCAATGACATAAATTGACCTGTTTCCGATAATCTTATTTATCAAGATGAACCTGTATATATATTCTCCATTTTTCCACAGTTGCTTCAAGACTCAAATCGAAAATCACAGAATTGACAAAATTTGAAACAATTAATCATGCATTATTAAAGGCAGAAAAGGAGGACCTGTTCCAGAGTAGCCATAAATATATGTATACAATGGAATGATTTCCTTACATGTTTGAAATAGTTGCACAGTAGTAGTAGCTAAGGGTATTCTATACCACGAAGAACTGGTTTGCAACTTCGCCAGGGTCAACGGTTACAATAGACTAAATTAGGTCACTGAGAACAGTGAACGTTTTCAATGAGGTAAGAGGCAAGTTTCTTCAAAACATTCCTTGCGCTCTTGAGTCCGCTCACCTTCCACATACCTAACATTTCAAGTGAACCTTGTACTAACACTGAGCCACTGGCCTTACCGGAAGGGTGTGCCTGCCAAAAAGGTGGGCCTTGAAAGGGACACCTGCACCGAAACCCACACTTCAAATATCTATACTACTACCCATTCAGTAAGAAATGTGAATTCGTCTGTCTGTGTCAGGCAGAAATCCCAAATCAGTGCATGGAGTCCATTCAACACCCATCAAGTCAGGTTGTAGTACAGTGAAACTCCTCTACAACGAAATCATGTTTGCAGCAAGAAATTTTTCACAACAGGGGGTTTTTCACTGTAGCAAATTTGATCTCAGATGTAAGCACACACACACCCACACACACAAACGTATGTGTACACGCACACACAAACGTTTGTGTACTCTATTTTTATTCCAATAGTACATAAGTATGAGCACACACTTATTTGACACTTCATATTGTCAGTGTAGAAAGAAAAAAAGGGAAAGAAATTGCGAAATTTACGATCAGCATTCACTTTCACTTACATCAATTTCTTGGAAAATGTATTTTATTTTGCTTGCTCCGTCTTTCATTTTGATCACTTTTACCCTCTCTTCCAGCATCAGAGCTCTTCTTGTCTTAGCTGCTTGACATCAAAAGGTCCGTTTTGTAGCCATTTTAGCAATGCAACGTCCATCCTCGTCTGAATCTAACAATAACAAATACTTCCTGGCATGCAATGAACTTTGAAGCCAGCCACGGGGCGCTTCGTAGTCCTCGATGGCCATAGTTAGCTCTCGAAGACTAAAAACCTTA